AAGGAGCACTGTTATTAAATATTAAGCAACTTGTGCCAGAGTAGACCTACCGACGATTCGCCTCGTAAGCATTATTAGCACAGAAACCCCTTGCTTTTTAGCCCATGGTAAAAGCTACATTTAGATGTCTGATAAGCGAATACAGTGAAACAAATGCAAGGATTATTATGAAGCCAAAAAAAAAGCAGGCCTCCACTAAAAGCCTTTAGCATGTCTCTGAATTCACTTGACAACAAGTAAAAGGTTTCACAGACATATAATACTGGCAAGAGAGGAGAACGTAATTAAAAATTCATTTGAATGCAATTAAGGCAACCGTGAAATGCAATCCACAATCAGATTCCAACCAAGCACTATGTGGCCAATAGCTGTTCAGGCATGGAATCCAGGGACTATAGAACCATTTCTGCCATGGTTTGCATTATAAACAGGATTAGTGGTTTTACTGCCTTACATTTAACAAAAACTGAATTATTGACTTACAATAATACCACAAGATATCTAGGAACATTTTAGCTTTTACTTAGCCTCACAATCGGAGGAGAGATACCAATTAACAAACAAGTGAGATGAACCTTTTAGCTATGTTAAAAATTGACATTTCTAGGATTTATACGGCATCATTCTAAATATGTAAAAAAAAATCTTTGAGTCCTAGCACCTTTCATGACAGGAGGATGTCTCACAGCCTTCACAGTTATACTGTAAAGTGTGGTGACTGTATATTGTGTTAGTGAGCACGGCTGCCAATTTCCACATAGCAACATCCCACAAACAGCCATGGAGTGAGAGACCAATCTTATTTGGGGGATTTATTTGTTACTAAACAATATGATAGAAGGGAAGATGCAAGCTATCTCTGAGACTCGCTGTTGAAATATTTTAAAATCTGGAATGTGAGAGTTCTTTGAATGTCTTTCTTTTTTCTTAGCGAATAGGATTTTTTTGGCGAAACAACAAGTGCATGGCCAATGTATAAGTTTCTGTGCAATATTTGGGGCGGGGGTGGCGTTGAGGACTAACCCAGAGTTCCAATGGCCGTGTCAGCTCATGTACTTGGGACATATTTGAAGCGATGGAATATAGGAATGCAAATGGTAAAACTGGGGAGAATGCAGAAATCCTCCCCAGGAAACATTGTAGAATACAAATCAGCATTAAAAATAATGTTTACGGGTAAATACTCTATCAGAACTTGAATGGTTATATTAAACTGATGACTTTCGTCATCCAAACTTTTGAGTACACTGGAGCCTTGTGATGATATTCCCTGTTTCACTGCCAGCCTGGTTCACTGGTCAATAATGTAAGGCATTAAATATTGTGCAATATTGTAAGGCATTGAACAAATTAAGTGGTTGCCTTGGAGAAGCAGCAGAGGGAGTAAGAATTCTGGACATATATCAGGCAGGAGAAATTCCACACATCGACCCTTTCGGATGAAATAGAGCATGTCTTTGCCCACAAAAGACAAAAAATTGTCATCTTCCACTTCTGGTTGAGAGCTTACACACTTCTACTACATAGAAACCAGAAGGAAAGCTCCTCCCCCTACCTCCCAAGAACTCTTAAGTCTCTCTTGACAGTGCAACTTGGTGGGCTGAAGGTTGTTCCCCACAGGGCTCGAACTCAGTGGGAGGGTAGAGAGCTTTGTTACTCTGTCTCAGGCCAATTGTGAAGCTCTAAGAGGTCAAGAGAGATTCTGTGTGCTAGCCTTCATCTATTCTGGTTACTTTTGTTCTGTTAAAAATCATGTAATAGACTGACAAAGGAACACATTCAAAAGGGCAGGAGGCCTTTGACTCTGTTTTGCTAGTGCGTACCTACTGGGGCCATAGATCATCATCATGCTCCGACTGCCCGCAGAGATAATGTATTCTCTGGGCTTTAAAATGTCACACTTGTTAAGTTAATGCCTCTTTTAAAAGTCCAAACAACAATTGTGCAAACGCAACAGAATCTCAGTTTAGCTGCACAAGTTTTGCTCTGGTTCTTGAACAGAGGAGAAGGAGTGACTGGAGACCTTGTTGGATTTTTGGGGTACATTCCCCAAGGTAATCGGATCTAAAGTGAATAAACCACACACAAAAAAAACACAACCCTATTTAAAAGAAGCTACAGTATATGTTGATAATGAATACACAAACAAAACCATACCCCTAGTGTTTGAGATCATGTGCTGAGTTCAGCTGTGGAATAATTCTGCTGGTAAATCTATATCTGGGGACAATATTGGAAAACAATACAGAAACCGATGATGTCTCCCGATTCTGAAAAGACTTCATGACGTGGAATGACCAAAAATCCAACATGAGCCTTGGCCTGAACTGATTTGAGACAAACATAAAAAAAAACGCAAAGAAGGCAGAACTGCAATATTCCTAAACACATTCCATTCCTTATTTAAGAGATTAACAGAGTGGGTGGAGGGACATTACAAGGCAATAAAGTGCTTGAGAAGTTCACATCATGCCTAACATGCCATCAATCGAGAACAAGTTCATGAGAAGAAGTACACTACAGAAAGACATATGTACAGTGGAGAATCTGTCACATACAGGGCCAGATCTCACCTCAATTTAACAGTAACAGTCTTTCTCCCCAGCAAATACAACCTTGTGACATTTTGAGGAGATACAGGAGATCCCCAAACTGAGCTGCACTATCTCAGTGAATTAAAAACACTGGAGAATCAGATGTTGTTGGACAATGTTCATTTGATGCTAAACCCTCTCATTAAGCAAAGTGCGTTCCTACCATCGCTTTGTAGTTTACAATGTTTAAGGGCAGTAAGTACACTGTACAAACTATTTGCTCTCATTACTTGCTGCACCCTTTCAACAAATGGCCTCATATAGTTTTACTGTGGTGTTTGACGTGAACCTACTTGCCTGTGATCTCAAATTAGCTTTTAGACTAATGGACAATTGCATTAGCAAAGGTTTGGGCTTTTTGGTTTTAACTGAGATGTGCATGAAATACTTTACCTGAACATCAGGCAATTGCCATCCTGTTCATTTATTTGCAGTTGAAGGATTTGCTGCTATGTCAGGTTCAGTGTTCGGTTTCAGTTAAAAAAAAGGTGAAAAAATACACCATTGTTTGGCACCCAAGACAATCTTTGGCAGCTATTCTTTAACATTATTTCTTTCAACTTTGTCAATACATTTTCACGATGGGAAATATTCTAATTGCACATTACATTTCCCAAACCGTGCAGTTCTCAGACAGCATATCAGATTCACTTATACCTGACTGGCCAAACCTACACCTGTGTAATCTTCAGATTAAACATACTCTGTTTTTTTCAAGGTAGATGTGATATGACCAACTGTGTAATTGGAGGTGATAGTGGATGGTGGGAGAAGGTGGAGGGAAAGATGCTTAAAACAAAGTTTAACTTTGTGATATCTAGTTTTGTTTTATAAGCAATGTATATAGATTTTATTAAACAAAAAGGTTAAGATTTCCATTGACGTTCAGAATACCTGAAATCACCTTCCCATCAAACCAAAGATATACCACAAACCCTCCCAACTGTGCCGTTTTCTCGAAGCGCAAAACTGCACCCAGGCAGCTTGAGACATGATGGGGATTATTTTGGCTGCGTTAGATCAAATGAGGTTTATTAGATGGTTTTAATCGCAAGTCCCAAGGTTTGGCCCATCGCCCATGTATACATGGTAGTCAGCTCTTCTTTCAACAGTAAATTGCTTTAAAACAAAATTTAAAAAAATTTCAAGGGAGAAAAAATAATGTCCTTTAGAAGTTAATGTCTTTAGTAACCTAACAATTTCCTACTTCTTCATCAGGCTTAATAAGCAACTCCCAAAAGAGTCATCTAAAGCCTATGAAATCATACAACGTGTAATGGCTAAGAAGGCATTTAATCAATTATAATATCCTCCTGGGAGAGAGGTGAATAATCAGAATTGTTAGAACTTGTAGCTTGGCAAATAATACGATTTGGAACTTGACAGATTATTAGTTATATACAGAATAAGGCAATTCCAACACTAATTAATAAAAGATCTAGTATAATTTATGGAATATATCGGATGCATGGGAAGCCTTGGTATCCTGATCAGGACAGAAGCAAAAGCTCATCATCTGACAATGCTCCACCTTCTCTCTCCCCATCAGAAAAGTTTTGTCTTTCTCTGGTTGATCAATACTGATATGATCATTGCTCTTCCTGTAATCCCTAGTAACATGACTGCCTCACCTTCCCGGAATTAAAATCCCAAATCAAAGCTCAGAGACACGTTGCTTTGATTCTATTCTAACACGTTCTTCCTGAAGGCCTTGGGGGTGAGACTCCTCATGTCTATCTCTCTCTCTCTCTCTCTCTGGCTTCCTGTATTTCAACGCACCATTAAAGCCTGCGTGGTAGCAATCAATCGCTTCTTGACTTATGTTCTTACTCTGCTGCTCTGTTGAACATGTGTGGGAGGGAAATGAATGATGGACTTTATACATTTTACCTTGCTTCCCATTGATAAATAGCTTAATATTTTGTATTTCAAGATTCTTTAAAAAAAAGTGCATATTGCTTTTAGTTCAAAGCACTCAAGCAGTGACAGGGTTAAGGTTTGTGTTGCTCAGCAAACTCTTGACAGTTTATTTCTGTGAAGTAATAATAAATAATAATCCTTGCATTTGGTATAGCGCCTTATCACATCTTCGAGACGTTTCAAAGCGCTTACAGGATATACTATAAAGTGAATTGATTATACATTTGTGGGCAAAACACGGCAGCCAATTGCACGCTGCAATTTCCCATAAACAGTTGTGGATTGAAGTGACCAATTTATTATTGTTGCTTTTTTTCTTGAGGTATTATTATCAGGAGTGTGTGTGTGTGTGCGTGGAGTTAGGAAACTTGCCCAACGCTTTACCCTGCCAGGAATCAAACCCGGGGCGAGTGCTCTAACCACTGAGCTACAGGCTACAAAGATGAAAGGCACATCTTTGAGGTTATTGTTCGGTAACATTTGTACCTGGCCTGAAGGGGCGATGAACCAGAAGGTGAGTCATGTCGTGCAGCTGCTGGTTCACACCTTGCATTCTTAGCTGGATACACTCTCGCCGATGGATGTGGAGTCTCATCTTGAAGAAGTCTTGGAGTCATTGATTTACAGTGTTGAACTTCCCTTTTGTTGTCTTCTTTCCTCCCCGGCTTGGTCTGTGTGTGCTTAGAATTAGAACTTTGGCAGCTGTTGGAGCAAAAAGATACGCAGCTTTATGTAACCAAACACCCATCACAATGAATGAGATTAACTATTTTGCCTCTAATCACTTTATTATTTTTGTGTCTTTTTATGCTGGTTACACATTTGCGCTCCCTCTCCCTTCGCCTTCACCAACCCCTTAAAATAAACACACTCCCTTTCTTTCGAGAGAATTTGTAATTCAAAGCACAAATTCAACAATACAAGAGTGTGACTGCTAAAATATAGTCTTAACCATTCACAAAATAGTTTGTTGAATCCTAAATGTATGACGAGCAAATCCCAATTGACCATGTTGGGATAAGGTATTTCATTAAAGGAACATTCACACCCATCTGAACAAACAGAACAAATCCAATTGACAAATGAACAGCACTATGTATTATTGTGCAATTATCTTTACCTACCATTTGAACAAGGCAATCAACTTTTCAAAAAACAATCCAGAGCATATTTTCTATCACCAAGGTACTTTAAATGCTAGGTGATATTAGCATGAAACAAGTTATAAAAAACAGGGTTAAGGTTTCAAAAAACTTTTTTTGGAGAGATTACAAACATATTATTGGGAATATTGTGAGGGTAAAATAATTTTATTTAATTAAACTAATCTTGTAGAAAATTATTAAAAACACAAGTTGAAGCTTGTTGCCGGGATGTTTTTGTGATTAAAGTTTATAAAGTGTCTCTAAAAGGAATGTAAAGCCTCAGATTTGTTATTAATGCATGATGCGATGCATTTGTGGAACTACTGCATTAGCCAAAGTTTAATCTAATAATGGCAAGATTAGGCTTGGTATCAGGTTTGTTGTGAGGGGAAGGATATCTAAGGGGAATTACTTAAAATACAAAGTAGTTTACATTTTGCACATTTATTAAAATAAAAAAGTTCCTCTTTGGAGAAAGAACAGAGCAGACATTTGAGGCTGGATGAAACTCCTCACAGAGTAGCTAACACTAGAGATGGAATCAGTCAGTGAGTGTCTGCATTGACTCAGCAGGGATCAGCAGTGCCCTCATTTCATCACGTTTCTGTTGGACCTTGTTGGCTTAAGTGACTGCCAATTTTGCCTTCATACGCAGTCACTTCAGTTAGCAACAATTCACTTTGAAGACCTTGAGTCATTTTGACATGATAACTAAGGCACTATAAAAACACAAGTGCTTTCTGTTTCATGATAATCAAAATGACCGCCTATTAAATCCATGCGTCCTGTCTCAACAATGTTGAGAGTTCCATACAGCTATTCAAGGCACTATTCCAGCAGAGACTCATAAAGATTGCATTTATGAGCCAAACCCCAATAAATTCTTTAGTAAATTTCTTAAATTAAATTTATCTCTGCTTGGAATTAGGATTTGCCTTTTCCGCCAACAGCTGTTCTCCATATTGGGATTGGTGTTCCCCATTAGGAGAGCTTTTTGTGGAGATTTCCTAAACTTTATGCCAGATGTGGAATTAAAATAAAATATCATTTACACATTGTGTTGCCCTCCCAGAGAGATGAAACGTACAATTGAACTATTGGATCAGGGGTAGGGTATTAATGTTTAAATTGGCAAGTCCAGTAGAGAGAGAAAGAGTGAGTGAGAGAGAGGGTGACTTGTCATTGGAAGCCTTTTATGGTGGAATTGGTCCCAGCACACAGGACAGCTGTTGGTAAGAACAAATCACTAAATACCAGTAGAGTTCCGTGCCCATTTACCCAAGAAATAGAATTATTGGCTTGCATTACGATTTTTGGAAGCAATACTTGGGAATATTTTCTAATGGCTTGGCCATTTGGGATTGGCATCCAAGAGCAAGTAATGAGAAAAATGAGTGCTTCTCTAGCATGTTATCACAGCAAAATATCTCAAGATACTTTACTGTAATTACTGTCAGGTGTACCAAAAACACTGGGCATTTTGTGCACAGCAAGATCTCACAAACAGCTAATAAGGCAATCAACCAATTTATATGGAGTGTGGTTGGCCAGGACACTGTGACAAACTCATTTTTCACTTCTAATGTTGTCATGGGATCCTTACTATATAACCAAAGGCAGATGGGACCTGGCTTTAACATCAGATCTGGCTCCCTATCCCCAGGCTTGGATATTTAGTCAGTTCTGTTCAGCACTCTGGGACATCCTCCTGATTTGAAAGATGCCCATATCAATGTAAATTTGTTGTTCTTGTTGTAGACTGGCGCCAACCCAGATTAGGAGTTTGAGTCATATCATTGAGCTGGAAACCACAATCTTCTGACATAGAAGCAAAGTTGCTACCAACTGAGCCAAGCTACAAACTGAGCTAAGTGGAGGCTGATCTCACTGTGTGCAGCTAAATGGGTTGTGCCACAGACTTGCTGTCCTGACGTGAAAGGCGCTATACAAATGTCATTTTGTTGTTGTTGTTGCTGACTGACCACTGCTTTTGCCAAGTGTAAGAGCACCATTTCTTTGAATGTTCTGGAGAATTTAATAGGTACGTATTAAATTGTACAAAAGGAGCAAATATTTTGCATTGCAAGGCCTTGATCTTCAATTCACCGGAGTAGTTGTCATAAAAGTGCACTGACACACCGTTAATGTGAGGATTACAAACCGAACATTTGAGATTGGGAGTAATGTTTCTAATGCTGGTCCCTCTCTTTCATGTTTCTGACAGACTTTGGTCCCCTATTCCCACCTGCATTTTACATCTGACTTTATCTAAATAGATGTTAACAATCTGTCTAATGACAAGTCTGACTTCACTTTATCACACAATGCGTAAGCTCATGAGGGACTGCTCATCACCACAAGTGCTGTAGTTCAAATTTCACAGTTTAAGCTGAAAATTACAGGAGCACTTTTTTTCCCTAATCACCTGTCACGATACTGCATAAGAATAAACCTTTGTAAAAGTGGAATGAAAGTGAACCTAAGAGTTCATTAAACAACGATAGACTTCTCACTCACTTGTTGAGAGTTAGGATGGAGCTCAGATTTGCAAAGGTTTGTTTAAGAACATTATAGTGAAATCTTTCAAACTCAAAACTGCTTATGCAATAATTCACATTTTGTCAGTACCCAAACCATGGGTACCTATAAACTTATTTTTCAAAATATTCTGAATTGATAATACAGATATTTTGCATTAAAAGTAAAACTCAACAAACAATGTAACTCATTATCTGCATTACAGAAATGGATGATATCTTGGAGCTCATCTAACATTTTTTTTCAATTGAATTTGATTGTATTGTGATCCAGATAAAATGGTAAGAAGTCCCAAGACTTGTAACCTACCACTGTGAGGTACAGGTTAGCCTGGCCAGGATTGGCCTTTCCTTGGCTGAGATGAAGAACTTGCTGTGGGATAAATGACAGATTGACAGACCAAATACCTCAGGAATGATATCTCAGGAACTGTAATAATACCATGAATTTATAGCCCTGGCAACAGCTTCCAATGGACCACCCATTGGAAACCTGGTTTAAATTATCTGGTGCATCAATACTAAAGATCGTCTTGTACCCTTACAAGTTAACTTTAATGAGATAAATAGAAACCAAACTCCTCATCCCTAAAAAAAACCTGTTTAATAAACTTGCAGTGGCTTTGCATTTTTATGAAATTGGAACAATATTGTAACAAAACATTTTGGAGTTGTCAGAAAAGGTGCAACAGAGGTTTTAGAAAATAAAATCTATTTGAGTGTGAAGCAAATTTTTCCAAAACATTTTCATCAAATGTCAGGGATTTTACAGTGACATGAACCCTGGAAGTAATAGTACAGTTAACTTGCATAATGTCTCTGCCCTTCTAGCCAATGTCAGGGTCAACCTTTCAAATCATCTGTCTTAGTAATTGTTAGCTCTGGCTGATCCTGTATCCATCCAGTCAGTATCAAATGCTGACCTCAAGTTAAATGTAAGTTAAGTGCCATCTAGTGCACCACAAACAATCAGAGTGAATAAATAACACAAAGCAGGTCCTCCTGAGTGACCTGTGAAGAGACCAAATGCACTTTACACCATTGATACTGAATAGATTCGCTCCTATTTTGTAAGGGCATTTCTGTGGATTGTAAGGACATTTAATTGCATTAAATGAGCCCCTTTAAGCTAATTAACTATCCCCCACCACCACTCAACACACACACTGTGATGTACAGCTTCTCAGAATACACATTGAGTTTGGCACAGCTGAATGGCCAAGAACATTCAGGCCATGCACTCAGTTTAACAACCCACGTCTTCGTGGGCAGAAAGATGATACATTTCAATAATTGGTTCGAAACATTAGGGTGGAAAGAAAATCTGCAGTTTTTGGATTCACTGTTGGTACATCTCCAACATCTGCAGTGTTCATACCACTGGCAGTCTTACCCCTTCCCACCCACCCTCCACTCCTATTTGATTCAGCACTCTTCCGGTATTCCTGAGTCACTTATCATGTCTGGATAGGTATGGAACCTGGAGTAACGTCTTTCCACTTTATCTCCTTGCCTGTAGAGAAACAGCTGGCCTCCCGGAATCTCCTGCTACAATTGGATAAACTGGGTGTTGGGGACTCAACAAATGATGCTGTGTCCTCCTACAGTATTACACCTACAATCATTACTTTTAAATTATCAGATACCAGAGGATCATCCAGGTATTAGAAGCAGTGAAAAAGAGAGCAGGAAGGCTAAAGGCCAGTGTTTAAGAGACAAGTCTCTTCAGCCTCTAAGAGATGTGTGTTTAGAGAAAGTAAAGCAAACACCTTCAGACTTGCCAAGGCAGCAGGACAAGGTGCCAGGCACAGGGTTGGGAAGAGGAATTACAGCACATTCACTGGGAAGGAAAAATAAATCTGACTTCACAATATCTACAAGTGGCGCGGCTGTTAAAAAGGAACTAAATTGTTCTCTCAGAAAAAAAGTCCACAAACCTAGATTTTTTTTCACAACATTTGTCACTAACCAATGTTCATTCCTCAGCCATCACCAGAGTACACAGAGGTGCCGGCCTTTCCCACCCTGACACTATCCTCATCCATCATCAGCTCAAAGGTCATCTCAGGAACAAGCAGCGACATTCTGACCAGCTGGGGTGGGTGGGGAAGCAGTGCCTGATGCCGTGCACAGAGTGTTAATAATTCCAATAATTCCATTGCTTTCTGCTTGCTGATATTCTCCCATGACCTGACAGATGCATGTTTAATAGATTCTTCATATCTGAGAGATAAACCACTAGCATATTATTGTGCTGATTAAGTGCTCTGAGACGCTACCCTGCCTGAGGGGTGCTGTATAAATGCAAGTTGTTGTTGTTGATCATCAGGCAGGACTAAAGCCCAATGTCACATTACTTTCAGACGTGAGTAATTATTCTCATTACATCAAATGCTAGGATTATTATTATTATTTGAATTAAGGGATAAATTTAATAAATTATGAACTGATAATTGGAGGAAAGTAAAAGAAGGTTTCAAGAAGCTTTTGTTAATAAATTAATCTAAAGAGGTGAGCAGCATAAAATACTGCACCTCAATTCACTGGCAGCCAAATGAATTACATAACTCAGGACTGAACAGCACCCAAATAAAATATATATAATTCATATAAAGCTGCACCACCAGGGAATCTACTTCAAGTATTAATCAAATTGTTTCACGTGCACAGTTGTTATTTAATACCACCAAATGTCTTTTACGTTTGGGAACAGACGTCCAATGAGGTACTGTGAGACTTCGATGATGGAGTCTGGTGTAAATCCCAGCCTTGCCTGACATTTGAAACCAGTCATTTAAATTGGCCAGGTTCTGCTGGATCACAGCTAAGCTCCAAGGTAGCATAGCGATCCCATCAGAGCAATATGCCCCCATTGTTTGCATCTTCTATTGACAATATAGACCAGCAACGGCATCTACAATGTGACTGATATCAGGGAACACACGGCTGAAACTCAGGACTTGTTTTTAATGCAGTATGTAGAATAATGAGCACCTGAGAGTGATTATAAAACAGTAGCCTTATCAAGAGGATGAAATAACAGCCATCAAAGCCTTGCAATCAATCACTCCTATTTATCAAATGACTTGTTATAACACACACTAAGGAGGGTGTGCAGTGGTTTTCATCTGTTTTGTGTCTTTGTTGTCAGCAGGTGCCAAGCTAAACACTGGACAATGTGCTCTAAACAATTAGCACAGATTGCAGTCCACACTGAAAAAGCAGTAATAGATTTGTACATGTACTGAGCCATGATCAGCTGTTGATTACCAAGATGTAGAGGACAGTATACATGTAAATATTAATAACCTGGTCTCTTTTTCACCACCTATTTGGATTATCCATATTTAACTGTTCTCCCGAGTATAGAGTAAGGATGAACCATCGACTGAATTTTGTGGCTTTACTATTTGGGGTGAGAAGAGTAGCAATAGTATCAGAAACTACAAGGTGAGTTAAGCTAAGTCGCGATTCCAGGTTAGTCAATGTACACACCAAACGCAAAGCCACAGAAAAAGGGAGAAGGAAGAATAAAGAATTGAGTCAAGAAGTTAATATTATTTAAGGAATAGAGTCAAAACGTGGGGCAAAAGGAACTATTTTTAACATTGTGTGTATGGGAAACAAATACAGAGTTAATTCTTTCATTGGTCCCACCAGCATTCAATGCAGAGAAATTAATGCTCTGCGTTTTTTTATTACTTAACAGCTTTTATAAATTCGCACGATTAATATAAATGTTCACTTAACTCAAGAATATGAGCCCTGATGCTCGAGTTAAGCATGTGTAATGTCAATAGACTAGTTATAGAGACTGACTTGTTTATACATACCTATCTCCCACATCCTTATCCAAATCCACGGTTGACTGAATGGTGTCTCGCCTCAACCGTTTTACTACTTGGAGTTTGGCTTTATTTCTCATCCCTTTAAAACTGTTCGGAGAGTTTCTTCTGATTCTTGCCTGAGGAAACACAGTCAGTGAAAACTGGGTAAACATAAGACATATTGCACAATTCAGCATCCACTCAACTAAACATGCCCGTCATGGAGTGCGTTGGTTATATCACATGACACCTGAACGGGGGGAATAAACCTAATATGATATTTTACACAGAGCCAAGCTCTCCGTGTTTCTCTCTTTGCAGTAAAGCATTTGTTTAAAAACGGGAAAAATATTGCTAACTAGTAAGAAGTGTTATTTCTAGATATACAATATATATATAAAAAAAAGCTTGATTAGCCTTTAGATAGATAATGAAAGAAAAATAAACCCAAAGTTTCTTTGTTTTATGAGCACGTCTATTTGGGGAGAGGGTCAGGGATTCGAATTGTCCACTAGTTTAGGACGATGTGCAGTGGTGGCTACCTGAGCAAAAACAATGTCAAATTCGGAGTTATGTGGATTCAAAACAGCATTTTGTTCTAATCCACTTTCAAATACTCTTCTCAGAACAGAGAACAAAATACTCAAATACAGCATTAACAACCGATGAAAGAATCAGCTCTTAATCCTAATAATGGCCGTTTTTTTTCTCCAGCAGAAGAATTCAAGGAATTTTAGTATCAAGAAGTTTGATTATCTTTCCCCGGTCGTGGGTACAGTAATGCGGAGAGGCATTTGTCTAATATCAGTCCACCTTAGTTTGTCAAGAAGATAATATTCTCCTGTACAATTGTGCAGAAGGGGATTGATGGTGCTAAATGTCTAAACCACTGTCCCATGGTATATATCGGTTTATACAGTAATTAAGGCTCAGTCTCTGTGAAGCATCTTGAGATGTTTCTCTATGCAAAAGTTGCTACTCCACAAGTGCAAGATGTTGTTGCAAAAAATAGCGGAGTTTTAGTCAAACTTTGAGTTGGCGCTGCCTTTACCTTTGTGACAATCCCAGTGGAATTGTTTAACGATGCTGCCAAATGCGTCAGGCAAACTACAAACAGCAAAACCATAAGCGATGGTCTTGTTAGGAATGAAAAACTCTCAGGTCTGTGAGCGGTATCTGTCTTTCAGCAGATCTCAATTTGACACCCTGTCAGGAAAGTGTTTGCTCTAAACAAGGAATTGTAAATAACAGCGAATTACACAACAGCAAAAAATGCACAAGGTCCTCAGGGCTCTCCTGTCCCATTTTACTGTGACTTTTTCCATGAAGTGTGGAGATGGTACAGAAATGTGAAGCTTGCAATTGAACTGCACAGAGCAATTTGCATTAGGCAGAATATATACAATAATATTGCACCTTGAACATAAATATACCCTGTATATTTCGGAGTCCTGTAGCTCAGTGGTTAGAGCACTCGCTTTGCAAGCGAGAGACCTGAGTTCAATTCCAGGCAGAGGGCGAAACCTTGGGCAAGTTTCCTTACTCCACACAGAGCCTAATAATAATCCCTCCAAAAAACCCAAAACAATAATAAATTGGTCATTTTCAATCTACGACTGTTTGTGGGACATTGCTGTGCGCAATTGGCTGCCGCGTTCGCCCACAAATATACAGTCAATTCACTTTACAGTATATTCTGTGAAGCGCTTTGGGACGTCCTCCCGACGTGAAAAGCGCTATATCAAATGCAAGGATTATTATTATTATTATTATTACCCCCTCGTGCTATCGAGCCCGATTCTGATCATTATCAGAGATGTCAAATGTTTTGCATCAGTTTTATTTATTTCTCAACGAAACAATCACCGAGCAGGCATGTCATCTGGAAATGCATCCTGAAACCAGCTGGGCCCCAGCCCCCCTTCATCCACTAGTCAATTGCAAATGGATTCAGGATACGTATTGGGTTTGAGGACGGCTGGGAGGCCTGGGAGTACTTTCAATGAATCAGTTTTATTCACTTTGGTGTGTATTTGACGTGAAAGGCGCTATACAAAGGTAATCTTGTTGTTGTATTTGTGTGAATATACGATGCATGTCTACACTGCATATATCTAGTTATATAAATGCCTGTGTGGTTATCTGTGTGTGTGTGTGCGCGCGCATGTATGCGTGTGTGTATATGTGTGCATGCACACACACCTATATGTGATAACTATGTTTTATTATATTGTTTACAATCTCTAGTTGGTGCAGATGGCAAAGTGGAACCTGACTGACCTCCCCTCGAGAAGCTGACTCACTGTTATCGGTGGGAAGCAGATGGTGCCGACTGCCTGTGGCTGAGAGAAAATGATCTTCTCAGGTGAGGCTGACCCACAGAGCAGTGTTTACTGTGGGGAGATGGCTCTGGAGCACAGTGAGCAGCATATGGGGCTCTGGCTACAGAGAGAAGCTGCTGATGGTTGGACGGATGACGAGGCCTGTCTGTTGTTAGTTGGGGGGAAGGGGATTTGATGTGGGTTTAGTCGCATTTTTGTTTGTTTGATATTTTGGCAATGTTTACAACAACAACAATTGGCAATGTTTAAGGGTTGAACAGTAAAGCTGTAGCGCTGGCGGGTTCTGATCAGGCCCAGAAGGACTCAGCTGGTGAGTGGGGTGTGCACCAGGAGCCAGTTTAGTTGGTGGTGGCATGTAAAAGGTCAGCAAATACCTTCTGTTCCACTGAAGGAATGGCCTTGCTTCTTATCTGAGTGATTCTCACCCATGGGAGGAGCGAGAGAAAGAACAAGACAGAAAAAAAATTTATATTGAAAAAAAAGTCCATTAAAGAAGCACATTGAATCATTTTCAAAAAAAACCTTGAATAAGCTCTCCTGTGGCGTAAGATAATTACCAGTTTGCATTTTTGTTTAAATACTCTTATGTCAATAGTTGGGTGGGAAGAATAATTTCATATTTTTCTGAGGAAATAAAATAAAATGGAATGTAATGATTTCCATAGGGACTCAGAACATGCAGGTGGTTTCTACATTGAAATGGGCAATGGAATGGTGAGGTATGGCAAGGGTCTTCTCTTGATTTGAAGGCCAATATGTATTTAACCCAGTCTTTTCCCCTCCCACTAGTCACCTTCCATACCTGTCCTTTGCTGTTGATGGCCAATGAACTTTGTGTTGAAAAGCTATGAGCAGTCTGGCTTCTGTCAGGGGACAGGTTTTGTTCAGGGCTTTTGGGTAAGTGGCCCAAGTCTTGAAGGTAGCACCGTGCTGTGTTCAGCATCTTGGCAAGTGTATTCCTAAATGTGTCCTGTTGTTTGGCTCCTGGTAGAAAATATGAGCAAGATTAAAGCTGAAATTGGACAGAGAGTGTTTCAACTAAAAAAACGACGGCTAAGGGAAATTAATGGCATTGCACAGTAGGAAAGCTCACAACATGGCGGTCACTGAATACTTAACCATCAATCCCTGTCGTGTCTGTGTGCTTTTATAGATAGACTGAAGGAAAGTGTAAAGGCATCAAGTAGCTGTAAGAGCATGACTATGTATGACTATCCGTTTGACAGAGCTTAATGAAGTGAACTATTGACAACTGCAAATGACAGACCAAACCACTGCGCATTAGCAGGTTTGAATGTCACTTGTTTCTGAATCCGTGATCTGAAACGCGGACTATCTGTTGGCTACAGTAATGGCATTAACACGCAAGGTCCAAAGTCACTTCTAAACTGGAGAAGCGGAAAGGAGAAAGGAAGAGACGACAAGATTGAAGAGAATGCCACGTTTCGCATCAAGGCGGAAGCTCGCAGCAAAATGTCACGATTTGAAAGAGTTGAACAACAGTAATTCAAACTTAAAACTTCAAAATGCAGCATTACCGTACAGTGCCACAGAATCCAGAACATCAGTTCAGTCAAATAATCTCTCCTTAAGTACAATGGGCACAGCTAGAGTTAAATAGAGTAATACGTCATTATCTTTAATCCTGGGTTACTTGGAGTCTCTCTTTTATTGACAACCATAAACTCTGTGGCAATAGGAGAGTCCAGATGAAGGCATACCAAGCATAATTCTCAGCCCTTCACAGAATTCCAGTGTTGCACACTCATTATGCACAGGTTTGTGATCGAAGCCAGCGATTCTTGGCAAGTTGTTTCTCAGAGCTTGAATTCCACAATCTACAGCAGCTCCTCACTATTAACAATTATTATCCTGGGAGGGGAATATCAAACTTAAAATGATGTTTCAAACAAGAAGCCTTCAAACACCCATTTATTACAGATTTGCCACTGAGGTCAGTCTGTCCACATGAAGGTTCTGATTTGTTTCCCCGTATATAAAATCTGGAAGTCTTCACGCTGGAATCATTCAAATAAAAGGATCCAGAATGAGATATATATTAAACATATGATATAAGGTGCAGGATTCTATATTGTAATAACATTCAGTGACACTTGCACACAGCTATGAAGCAGTTATGAAGTGAGCAACCAATTTTATTTCTAAGATTGTGAGTTAGGATAGTACCATGGGATTCTGCCATGTGGACAGGCAGACAGGAACTCTGGTTAACTGTCTCATGTGAAGGACAGCACCTCAAGGAACACAGCCCACTCCCAGCACCGCATTGGTAGTTTGTAAGCTCAACGTCCTGTCATGGGGCTTGAACCCACAACCATCCGTCTCAGAGGCAAGAGCAACCCAGACAGATATGTGCAGGTACAAGATAATGTCAGATAAGGGAACACACGACTTTGAACAGAACGGAGAGATTTTTGATTCATTGTGCGCTGAATCAACTTCCGCTGAATAACAATCGTGGATATTATGGTGTTGGATGTTTGGATTAAAGTATGGATGACAAAGTTAGTCCTGAGGTGGGTAACTGGTTTGGATGGATACAGATCCAGCAAACATCATTCGTTTGGATTTAGAAATTCAACCAACTTTGGAATGCATCACACGGAAAAATAACTTGCAGTTGGCTCGAAGTGTTTAAATGAGTTCTAATCTGTCTTGCTTTATTGATCATAAATCTCTTAACGCTTAACATGTGTTTAACACTGATTATCACCACACGTTAAGTGAATTTAGATTGAGTTGAAACATCCAATATTACCAGGCACTTTTCGCACTTCAAATAGCTCAGATTTGTACGCAGAGTGAGCAGAGACAACAAAACTATAAATCTCCTAGATATCATCAGGTTATACAGATGCATGAAAAAACTTGCCAAACACACTGAAACCTGGACAGGGTTGATTTCAGAAAAAACAAAGCTGAAGCCATATTAATCTTTTGTCAAACAAATCACTTATATATGACTATGTCCTGAATGTCTTATTTGTAACCGAGGTTCAGAAAAGATTACACTTTGGGGGTGAAAAGCTTCCAAACCCGAATAGAGAGAAATAAAAAGTGAAGTTCACTGTCAACAACTTTCCAGTCATAAAATAGAAAAGAATTCCATACATTTGCAGTTAATCAAAGTGCAGTTTACCTGCACAGACACATCAGCATGTAAAGGTAGCAACCCACCATGTAATGTACAGAATAATGAAAAAAACATCAGTATCGATTGCAAGCTGTAATTATAATCTAATACAGTTAAATCCTGTTTTAATTTGAATTGCACGAGAAAACATATTCTCTGAAGCCACTTTGGGGACTGGAGCTTATTGCCATTCCAGACAGATGGGATATTAAAACACAAAAGCTCCCTGATGGCACAATGGGTAAATTTGATCTCTGGTCTGTGCAAAGCTCATCATCTTCAACTGGAGCAGCAGCTGCAGGTGTCACCATTGGCCTCAGCTTCTGAGGATACGGAGATTAAACAAATTCGTCTTCATCTCATTGACCTGGGCACAACACCCAATTCTGTTGAGGACAGTGTTGAGTTGAGCCTCGTTTTGCCTATAACATAGAGTCAATTCACTTTACAGTATATCCTGTGAAGCGCTTTGAGATGTTACAAGGTGCTATATCAAATGCAAGGATTATTATAACCTCTACCTAGAGCTAAAATTCCCTTCCATAATAATGATAGCCCCCGAGTGTGTCATGTGAAGAGACTAAAACAAATCTGAAGCCAACATTTCCGTCTCCTGATTTTAGAAAATGCTCCGAGACGACAGTTTTTCTCCCCAATCAACCTCGCCATGTATTTGCATTTAAAGAGTGATTTACAATCTCTTCCTTTGTACAGAATATTCAGTAATTGACAAAGTGCCAGATGTGTGTTGAAGGAAGGTCAGGTCTGAATAGTGAGAAATGTGCAGTTGTTTTTTTCCTCCATTGCCTTTAGGAATGAATGAAACCTGTGCAGAACTTTCCTTGGGAGGAAAGAATAGGTGGGATGCACTCCATTATAGGGCTAGGTTATGTGTGGGAAGGAGTAGGTTGGATGGGTTGAACGTTCTTTGCTTTCTATGCCCTCAAGATATGAAAAGATCTAGACTGAAAATACCTGTTACTGCTTTTGGCATTGATCTCTCTCCAGGCATTCCCTTTTCCTTCATTGCATTCTTCCTGTTGCCTCCTGCTGCCTTCTGTGTGTTGGACACTTGCCTCATGTGCTTTCCTGGGAAGATCGTACGATTAATAATAATATGGGATTTAGGAAGGTGACAGAGACAGCAGCAAACCAGCTACACAAACCAACAAAGTACTTTACTGGGGAAAACAAATCATCACAAGTGCCCAGAGGTGTTAGAAGTATCTACGGAGAATAGGTTTGGACTATTGCAGTGTAACTATAACAAATAAAGTAGATTAAAAGAACACTAGGGCAAATTTTCGATATTCTTTAATCTTTTCTGAAATGCCTGCAAGTTTGTCATTCACTTCAGAATAATGACTGTACATGCTCAGTGACCTAATTTCTTTACCAGCAAATAGCCGGCTGACTGGGAGATACGGACTGCCAAAAAAGGCAGGACAGTCATTTATGGGCGTTGATTACGAAATTCATCCACAAGCTGCACCTATTCTTCATGGCGTTCCCGGACTTAATTAACACAAGAAATCTTACAGGTCGTGGAATCTTGCAAGGTTTGCCCATTAGTTCTGCTCTGAACATATAAATATATATATATATTAAAATTTATATTACAAAGTTAAACGAGCTTCCCCATCTGATTATTGCTGCTTGCACCACTCCAATTTGAATCTGGCATTTTAAAATCAATGCTCAGTTGGCTAAAAAAACAACAACGTTGTGAATGTCAGTCAGTGGTCTGACCACTGCAGTTTGACATAACCAGGGTAAACGGTTTAACCCTATTTTCAGGCTGATGTTGGAGAGGCTGGTGCGATGGCGAGTTGATCACACATGTAGCCGAGCTCTGCCAAAACGAGTTATCTGTTCAGCATCGCTCGAGAGGCTAAAGTACCGAGAGACACAGTTAATGAACCTCAATGGAACCTGAAGATTAGAAATGTTTTTCCCTTATAGGTTTGTGACTATGTGGAACAGACTGCCAGCAACAGCAATTAAGAGTAGGTTGATTAACTTCTTAAAAACAGAGCTGAATAAATATTGGATTTGGAATGGGAGGGTGAAGATTGTAGAGTAGAGAGAGAGAGAGAGAGAGACGATAAAATACTTCAAGTAACACAATGATTTTTGGGACCATTAAAATGTTAGCTGTGGCAAATAATGGCAACTCTATACAATGGAAATATAAATAGATTAAAAAGGTATAGTGTGTGGAGAAAATGCCTTTGAGTCAAGGGGAAAATTCGCCCACAAAATATACAGTCAATTCACTTTACAGTATATTTCTGTGAAACACTTTGAAACGTCTCAACGACGTGATAAGGCGCTATATCAAATGCAAGAATTATTATTAAATTGTTCAGATCTCCACCAACCCTCGGTAGATTAACTAAATGACGTGATGTAGAATATATGGTGGGGAAGATTGCACATGGCTTATGAGGACAGAAGGCTCGATAAACCAAATGGCTTTGTCTCATTCAATTTTTTTGGGTGTCCTGTTAGATTAAATCTGTATTAAAAATAATTAGCATATCTGGATATCGCTGATTCACAAGAGAATTTGCACTCGTCGCTAGCACTCTGTACACTTCTGCAAAGTGGGTTAGTACTAAATCTCTGCAAGATGTTTGATATCGATAATAACCAAGTCTTTTACTTGGCTTCCAATCAAGATGTGGTATGCATACTCTCTGCAGAACTAAAGCTTGTTTATTAAAGGCAAAGAAGAAATAAGACAAGATGCAATTATAGCTGCTGAAGGAGACTAGTAATCAAGGTCCTGTTTCACTATTCAGCTGATCTGAAGAGATATGCATTAGCTTCGTTAGGTTCAAAATTTAAAAAAAACATTTTTAAAATGCGCAAATAATATTTATCAAATTACGTTTTTTAAGGGGAAAAAAATCCACCACCACGAGCGTGTAAGATTGTGCTGCATTCTACAGTGCAAACTGCGTAGGCCGTAGGTGAGTAAAGGAAGTAAAGACTTCTGTCTACCTGAATGAACGTGATTTAATAAAATCAGGTATGATTCCCTTCAAAAGGCTTCTGTTTTTACAAGTAGGGTCCATTTTGCTCATGTGCACCAGATTTAATTTAATAAAATCAATCTTGTAGGAGGGCGGGGGGGGGGGCGCGGAGTGGGGGACAGAGAAATGAGAAGACAGTAGTCTGATCTTGTTGAGCTCACAAAAAAAACGCAGAACGACATATTTTTACATTGTGAAGTTTTATTGAAATAAAACGCGTTAAGTTTCACATGTCCATTTCAGCATGACCAGCTTTTATACCCGCTTATCTAGATATCCATCTACTGTGGTTGCATAGACATGTGTGAGCAGCGGGAGACAAAACCACAGTGAGGGCTTTACATGGGAATTATGATAATAGAGTATTGTTTTACCAGACTTAACATTTTGCATCCATTCTTCTCATGGATGAACGACACTAGACGTATACCACACAATAAAAATGTAGAATTAATTCCACTGACTGTAGCACCATTATGTGAATTAGACATAATAGAGAAAGCTCTGTTTTATAAACACTTTATTTGAAGGCAATGGGAAAGGAATGCCAGGACAAACAGGACAACTTTCATACTTGACCAAAAACCATCTCGAAAGATGTCCAACATAGGAAACGGTGCTTTGAATTTGAATTCCCCTCTGCTCCCCTCCAAAAGGCAAACCTGACATTTCATTCTTTGTAGCAAACTGATTTGACCAAATAAAACTTTGGGCTGCCTTAAAAAGTTCAGAGCAAACAAAAGGGGCAAAATTATAACATAGGATTATTCTCTAATATAAACAATGCCTGGTTTTGAGGTAATAGTCAATAGATTGTTATGTGGGGGACAAGTTATGGTCATTGTAGGGGTACTAATCAGCACCCATCAAAGCTCAAAGGACTATGTGATTGAGCAGTGCTGAAGACCTTGGGTAATGGAAAACTCATACACTCTCTCACGGGCTTCCTAAAGTGGCCACATCACATCTTGAAGAATCAATCACTGCTCAACTACAGTATGAACATTATCTGCTTCCTCTTCCAGCTCATCAAGAGAGTTTTATCATCAGCGTCAAGTTCAAAACCTTGCTAGGTTTCAGAGTGGAGAGCTCTGTGGTGTTCCTGAGCAGTAAAGAAGGAAACATTAAGAGACTTTGTGAATTTAAATACTTAGAAAGCACCATGGCAGGACTTGAGAAAATTGCCAGAACTCATACTGCAGATTGAGTCACAAACCCAGCAGTTTATATGTTGATTGCCAGCATCTCATTTAATAATTTGTAACTATAAAGGCGGTGATTGCCACCATTCATTATAAATCCTTAGGCAAGCAGGACTGGTAAGTTCTTTCATGATCCACAGCTCAAGAGAAGTTAGATGCAGAACTGAATTGGAAAGGTTCCAGATTGTAGCTCAGTGCAGTACAGTACCAGGCAGGGAGATGGCCAGGTTTAACTTTCAATATCCATCCACCCTTGTCAAGAACATGCACATCTCTTGGAGTTCCAGTCTCTAGCAGTCCCCATCACTCATCCGCTTTGAGTATCTTCAAAATAAACACATCTCAGCCCCATTCTATACTTCACTGTGCTCTGAGGAATGTTCCTCCCACTGTAAAATGTTATTATCCTCTCGTTTAGCGGTTGCAGTGTCATACATTTTGGTCAGGATCGCTGCGAGTCTACAGAACGCATCCTTGTTCTCTCTTCTCTTCCCTTCCCCTCCTGTAGCTCAACAATGTCTTTCCTTTCATGTTATTCTTTCTCCCCTTTCCTTTTCCTTCTTCTCAGCCTCCCTGGTCACACACTGCCCACAGCTAAACTGTGCTTTTGCCACTCAACACCTCACCCTAATTAAACAGCTAATACTGTGCTGTCAGAGTTCCCAAGAGGGTAATTATGGTTACAAACCTGCGCCCACCAGAGCAACAATGTTGATTGTAATGTCTTCAAGAACGGGCAACACATACTTTCAGTACAGTAAACGGCTGTGTCACTCACTCAGTCTTTACACCCTGCTTGCTCCCGTTTTAATAAAGCAAAAGATGGTTTGTTTGGTTAAAATAGCATTTCCCAGAGAAAGATTAAAATCTCTCTTTGATAACAATATCAAAGCCAAATATCAAGACCCCAGAAGCAAAGAACACAATGAAGAGCAACAAATAAAGATTAGGCATCACGAGACCCTTTTAATGTCTTCTCCTTTTCTTCACCGTCTGAAGTTGAAGTAAAGAGCTACAGGCGGTTTGTATCATTTAACTGCTGTGCGATTATTGTAACTTTCTCCTGAACTTGTAATTAATAGACTGGTTTCCCACAGGACCAGTAGAATTCTCACCAAAGTACTGCTCATTCAACTTCATACTTCACTTCAAAATACCTTGAGGATTAAAGTCAGAAGCATATAGTATTTCAGGTACTTTTTAAGGACCCGAGGGAATAGGGATCAAGGTTTCACGAAAACTGCCAAAGTCTGACAAGTTGTACAGTAATAAAAGCCAAAGTAAGCTACCTTATCAGATCCTTAACCCAAAAAAATTCAAGAGCTAAAAGGAAAATTCACAAGTGCTGCTTTCTATCAATATTTTATTATTATAAGTAGTGGTGGTGACCTCCCTGTGCTCGAACGGAACAAAACTTCACTTGCAAAAAATCCAAATTTGTTGTCTGCAAAGATAATCTGTTGCGGTAACATTCACCGCATCTGACAAATTAGCCACAGATGCTGTGTAATGATACAGGTGTCAACCTCTGTCACTCTTGGTTATTGCTTCAAGCCCCAGGTCTGGTCTTTGAACTCCCAAGTCCAGGCTGATACTTCGATGCCCGGGAGTGCTGCATCGTCACATGTCCCCCATCCGTTCAGGTGGATATTAAAATTCCCAAAGCAAAATCTTCTCTGGATACATTGATTAAAAAGCTAGTTAGGACTGATTTATTCTGACAAACTAATTAAACCAATATTCAAAATCCCAACAGCTAAACAGCAGAAACAATGCAGAACAGAATATCTTCCACAAGTGATTCATCCCAATCAAAACGATGATTTGCAATGAACCTTGCAAAACATTT